GGTATTTTGATGTCATACACCGATCGGTCTGCAAACGCAAACAAAGCCAAAACCTAGATATTTTAGGCAATATAGAAATCCTGGCCAGGACGCGTCCTGGGAAAATGGCGCGTATGGTCACCCTACCCTACTCCCTGAGCACGGGACATTCACGGATTAGCACTAAGCCATGGCCTTACTAGAGGCCCAACTTACTAGACAAGTGTGAAGTGTGACATAATATACCTCTGTAAATAAATACCCTGATGGCACACGGAGACTCTATTTGACGTCTGCATTACATCTGCAAGACGTATTTTTTAGAGTGTTTGCTCATCTGCAGTACGTCTATTGCACGATTCCTATCAGATGTCAAATAGACGTTTAGAAGATGTCTTTAACCAGATGAAGCGATCTTTAACAGACATCTTGCAGACGTACGTGTGCAACGTGTTTATATATGAAGTGTAATACCATCACTGAACCATGGGACCATTATAGTACTTTGTTGTGAAACACATATGTTGAAGAACATACTCTATTGAGACTGAGTGTTGAACAATTCTGAACTGTGAGTTTTTCAATGTTATAGTGAGGGAACTGTCATATACCTAATCAAATAACTTTTAAAATTTCACCTGAAAGCTTGAACATCGCTAATGAAATCTCTAATGAAATTTGACAAAGGCGGTAAATTGCAATAAATTGATTTAATACTGTAACTGTCCACAGGGACTGTGCAGATGGGCATCTCATTAATATTTCAGATGATTTTATGTGAAAAATCACTCATCGTTATTATGATTGACCGGCAGGTGGTGCTTCAATACTGAGTGCAAAAGAATCGATAAAACAACCCGTCACTCAATGGACTTTTTACATAAAATACACACACACTATATGTCTGTAATGTTTATTAGCATTTTGAAGGCGCTTCTTCATTTTGTTGTAAAGTTAAAATAGACAAACTGGTATTCAAGTACAAACAATATACAAAAGTTGAATTTTTTTATCGCATTGTAAAAATCCAAGTGTGTCTCACTGCATATCAATACAGACAATTATCTCTCGCTCACTCATACTCTATATGCATCACATGATGAAAACTTATCTCCTTATTCCCTATACAAATATCATATCACTGTTCCATGAAAATATTTAATCTAAGCTTTATTAATCACAATCATACATTCACAAAAGAGAGCGAACTCTACTCAAATGACAATCAGATGGTGAGGGTTTAATTTCCATTTATGAATAAAATTAAGCCCCCTCAAATGTGGTAAATTATATAATTGAAGTCTATTACTGTTATTTTTTAAAGTAAACCTTTAAAAATGAACAAATCATTCAGACCATTAAATGTAAAACTCATTAAATTGTGCAAACCATCACATCAGACCTGAGGAAATAGAATTTCTGATAGAAATGCTTTTAAAATAATTTAATTAAAATAATCTCTAAAAAATATTGTGCTTGCAAAGTATATTTGATTCTCTGTCCGGACAAGCAAAACTAAACAATAAAAACTATTTTTAAAACCAATTTATAAAAGGTTTATCATCACTTACACCTCCTGTAAATGTAAAGAATTGAAAATCTAAAGGATGCCCTGGTTTGTTATTTGGAAAGTTGTTTACAGGATTCATCTGGAAAAAAAACAAAAACAAAAGACAGACAAAAATAACATTTAAAATGACAATGAAAAATATAATTTTATGATTTAAAATTTTCTATTCATGTTTTTTTTAACTGCATCAGGATTGTGCCAGATTCAGATAGATAGATAGATAGGTAGATAGATAGATAGATAGATAGATAGATAGATAGATAGATAGATAGATAGATAAATAGACAGACAGACAGATAGACAGATAGATAGATAGATAGATAGATAGATAGATAGATACATCTTTGTTGGATTTCTTTGAATAATAACTCTATAATTCTTCATGAACTGAAGGCACAACCCTGAACTACAGGCAACGTGTTCATATTTCATATAATCATCATAACAGCACATAATACAATTGCTACTTTAAAGGAAGTTCACCCAAATTCATTTGCTGAAAATTTCACTGGAGAAAGCAATATTACGGATAGAGGACTTGTATTTTAGCCAGAAGTGACAGTTAGTTAAAAATGTCTTGATGATGGATTTGTTTCAGCTTTTTTCTTCTACAGATGTTAACTGATGGACTGGAGTGCTGTGGATTATTGTGATGTTTTTATTAGCTGTTCGGACTCTCGTTCTGACGGCACCCATTCACTGCAGAGCATCCATTGCTGAGACACTGATGCAGTGCTACATTTCTCCAAATCTGATGAAGAAACAAACTCATCTACATCTGGGACGGCCCAAGGGCAGCACATTAAGCACATTTCAATTTTTGGGTGAACTATTCCTTTAAGAGCAGTGCAAACAGAAAAAAGTCAAAATATGAGCTTTATATTTATACTGTAAAGCACACATGCACAGGCTATTCTACAAGGTTTCTAATGCCACAGTTTACACAGATGCATTTAAAAAAGTGCATCAGCGTTATTTCTTCATCCAAGGCAATCGAACCTCATCTAACTATAGTGCGAATTCAGTGTGAATGCAGTTTATGCATTCTGTCTGTTGCTTCAATACTGAAAATAATTAGCTAAACAGTTTAGTCACAATTGTTTTTTGTTTTTGTTTTTTTTAGGGTTTGTTTATTCCATTGTTGGTTTGTTTATATTTTGATGACGTAATTTAGAAGCCACTGACCGACTTTTATGCATCGAGCCCTTGCTGCGCACTCATTCATGCCTCTGCGAGACACAAACGCTGCGCTCTCCTCCTCCTCATCTTCCTCCTGTCCCTCGTCCTCCTGCTCCCCCTCGTCCATCCCGCCGTCCTCCGGCCCCGGATGAGGCGAGTAAGGGAGGGATGCAAGCGCAAAACCTTCTGAAGGGTACTCACAAACTCTCTCCAGCTGAGCGTCATCGAAACACACCTTCACCTAAACCAGAGACAAGTGACGGACATATTACAGTATGGTCTTGAAAATAAGACCATAAAAACAAATAAAAAATACAACTCATTATGAAGATGCAAATAAGACCGAGACTTTTATTTTGCGTAACATCAGCTTTTGTTTTCCACAGAAGAAAGTCATAAGGGTTTGGAACAACACAGGGGCGTAGCCATCATTTCAGAAGTGAGGGGGACAGAAATGTTATATATAAAAAAATTTTTTAAATACATTACAATATAACATTTCTGTAATCTATATAAACTACCAGTCAACCGTTTTTAAACAGTAAGATTTTTAATGTTTCTTAAAGAAGTCTCTTCTGCTCACCAAGCCTGCATTTATTTGATTCAAAGTACAGCAAAAGCAGTAATGTTGTGAAATTGAATTTACGTGATATTAAAAGTGGGGGCGTAACACCGCTTAATCTACGCCCCTGGAACAACATGAGGGTGAGTAAATGATTTTGGCTGAACTGATGTGTAAATGCATACACTCTTAAAACCTGTGAATGAAACAAAAATACAAGAAAATATTCTTTCGGTTTTTCTACTTAACAATTTCAAGTTTAATTCAGCACATTTGTGATCCTTTGTGACAAAGTCAATCCTGCACCAATTTTTTTTTCAGCGTACAATATGCAGTGTCGGGTAAATTACTCTAACAAAGTAATAATTACTAGCTACTAATTACATCTTCAAAAGTGTAATTAGATTGCTGTACTAACTGTCTCTGAAAATATTGCATTTCTCATTACTAGTTACTTTGTAAATCCCGTATCAACCTTGACCAGTTGAACAATACAAGGACAAGGACGTGAAACTGCTCTTTTAATTCTTTCAAATAAATAATAGAAAACTGCATAAATTATTCTTGAACTGACCAAAGTATTTAAAGGGAAAAGGTTACATTAAAAACATATACTTTAACATTAGATGTTACATTTTTTTATGTTAAATCCACTATTGTTTTATTTAGAATTGTTCTATGTACAGTATTTAATGCAATTACAGTGGAAGTAACTAATTAAATTACAGGGAAATTAAGAGTAATCCCTTACTTTACTTTTACAAGGGAAAAGTAATTAAATTACAGTAATTATTTAGTAATGCATTAAGCCCGGGACCCCACTGGCAGATATTTGTTGTTGTTTTAATCATAAACTCACTTCATTTTGATCAATTTCTTTGTGGCCCATTCCATTTATTGCTTAAATTTTCTTTATTTGGTCTTAAATCTTCCTTCACAAAACCTGCAGAGACCCTGAATCAAGTCACACCTCAAGGATTTCAGATACAGAAATTACTTTTTGTTAGGAGGTTATCAGACTGTAAGTAGCTATTTAGCAGATGTTGATATCCAAAGCAAGACTTTGCTGAAAAACCTGTTTCTCACCATCTACTGCACGCCTTCTGTCTCTGATCGATAGTTTAAACTTTATTAGCAAGTTAAAGCTCTTTTAGTCTAATTGTACAAACATCCACTTTCAGCTCGTGCATCAAATCTGATCTGATTTTTATAAAGTAAATGTAAGAATAACTTTGATATTGTTAGTAATATTTGAAGATGAACACTTACTGGACTGAAGCAGCTCAGCTTTACTTGATTATCATTTTTTAGAAAAATCAGTGAGTCTCAAATTTGATCATCAGACTTTTGAGGAGCGTTTATTTGTTTGTCTCTCAATCATCATTGCATTGCATTGCATTATATGTTTGGATCATTTAAATCTCATCTCACTAAAACAGATTATTGCAGATATAGAATGACGACTGATATTTAAGTAAGTATCTGCTATACTGTTATAAAGATCTCATTGATTTACATTACATCAGAATTTCATCATATAAATATCAGACGCATATAAATATCAGGATCTACACTAAATTGCATATTTTTGTTCAGTTTGGGCCTCTGAATAAAATTTATGGCTGTATGAGCCATAAAAGCCTGATTGATCGAATATGATAAACGTAAAACACATATGCATTTTTTTTTTTTTTACATTTTTTGAACTTTTAAACTAAATAATTTAATGAAACTGTTCCATTTTAAAGCAGCACTATGTAACTTTTTCTGTGTTCAAAATTTGCTAAATGTATGAGTGAGTACATCACGAATTAATCTTCCAAACCGCGTTTTTGTCTTATTCCGAATCACTCCGGTACACTTATAATAAGTACTTATATTCGGACTATTGTAGCCTGGTCACCGCTGCGGAGGAACACACACCTGCGTGAATCGCCAGAGACATACACTTAGAGAAGTAGCTCCGGTTGGAATGTTCTTCCGCGGGTTGTGTGCAGTTCTGTTTATTAACCGCTAGAGCGACAAAAGTTACATAGTGCTGCTTTAAAATAATTTGATTTTCAGACCAGCAAAAATTGAAACATAAGATAAAACAGAAATAACACAGAGGACATAATACAGAGAGAAAAGTAGCGCCATAATGGCTTAAGGTTCAAATGAGGAAAGTGTAGAATCCCCCCCCACCCCTGACAGATTAAGAGACTTACGTCAATCGTTCTGCACACACTACCAAACTACTATTGCTATTTCTGTTGCACACAGCATGGGAACAGTACAAGGTTTTCTGTATGCATGTGCAGATGATCTTTTAGATTCAACAGAACGTTTAGTACACAGCCAGAGCATTGCGTGGAATCCTCAGAAACAACAGGCCATATAATGAACCCAGTCACAGGACATAAAGCTGTCTCCAAAAACAGTCAACAAGTGTGAACTATAAGAAGAATGAAGGTTAGATGTGGTCGGAGTGTAAACCAGGGCAATGACTCTTGGAGCAAGTAAAATTCAATGCATGAACACGTGATATTGTCGGTCATATAGTATGAACTGACATTTTCATAAACCGATAAGCCTAGGTTGCTTTTGGTTTTATGCATTCTCGTCTGTCTGTGCTACAGGAAGTGACACAGCTCTGAGGAGGAAGTAGCCAAAGAGTTGTCACAAGACTGCTTTAAAATCCCAAAATGTTGCAGCTACATAAAACACACACTTTAATCATACAGCGTTAAGCTTGTAAAACATGCACATTACACACATCAGCTTCATCTATGTGTACAGTTTAGCATATATGCTCTGCTTTTAATGTGTTGTTTTTGTCACTTTAATTCGAAACATTGATTTGTTGTTACTTACACTACTCTTAAAATGTTTGGAATGATTAGGATTTTTTTAAACATCAAACAGTTTGTCAGCTAAAACTCTTTAATCTAAAATATTTACCTGAGATTTAAATTATTTCAATAATTTAACAAAACATTCACTTGTTCACGGCTCTCTTATGCTATGTTGGTTGGTCATGGAGGTAGACAAAATATTGCATTTTTTAGTAAGTTATTTAATTAGATTTTTTAAAATATTATTATTATTATTATTATTATTTCAGTTTACATTTTTTATGATTTAATTCTCAGAATTTTTTATTTATTTTCATTCATATCATTTGATTTACTTACATTTTAATTTTATTAATGCTTATTTTAATATAATTTTTATTTAATCAGCTTTACGTATTTTCCTTAGAAATCCCAGTCTAAGAAATAAAACCTTTGCCAGTAATTAATTAGCATAAATGTAGGCCATTTATGGCAATGAAGCAAATTTCTGTATTCTAATGTATAATATGCAGTCGCAGCTGCACGTTTAACAGCATTGTACAACTTAAAGTAAAGTAACACAACTATGTCATTTATAAAATTGAATACTAGAATTGGAGCTGGAGGTGTTTTATTATCATAAATGCTTGTGGACTTCTGTCTCAAGAGTCTGATTTCATTGTTGTCTTCTCTTCATGTACATTTGACTCCAGTTCCTGGCAGAAGTTAGTGTATGTGGTTACACTGATCGCCACAATGCAAACATACTGCTCTATTAACTCCCTGTGAAAACCCGGCTGAATTAAAAGGTCATTCTGCTGTTCCTAGGAGAATGCTGCCAAATCCCCTCGTCCCCTCTTTCTACTCTGCTGAGTTCCTTTGTGTTTGCTGTGTCCCACTTACTACAATAAGCTGTGTTGGATGAGAACAGGCACTGCCATTAAACACTGGAAGACCAAATATCTCTCTGAATAGTTGCTGATAGTTGTGTTTCCAGAAGTGAAAGTTTCCAGCATTGTGTGTGTTAGTGTTCTCTGCAGCTCGAGGGAGGAACTACAAAGATATTGAGAGGAAGCCAAGCATTCAGTAGTATATCATGTGTATCAGCCTCACTGACATATTCTGCAATCAGATGCCGTCATAAATGGCTTGTGGTCACATCAGTGTATGTACTGTAATTCGCCCTACTGTAGCCTAAGAATAAAAATAAGGCATGACTGAAAGTATTGATAATGTAGAGTTTAGTGAGTCCGATGTCCATTAAGTAAACCCTATGGTTGATTCATTAGACTGATAGTTCCAGAGTTTGTCTTTTGTAAGAATCAGACTGCATTGGTCGTGCTTTTGGTTTTGCGTGTAAACAGTACAGACAATGCAACAAAATAACACGTTGCTTGATAGCATCACATATGTTGCTTGTGGAGATGCTTCTGTAAATGTCCTGTCACGGTTATTTTCTAGTTTCTATCAAGGTTCAGTCGAACTGGTGTCATTATAACATTCTTCTGTAGACTTGAAACTACATAATGCTCTTTCCTGGGTCATTCTAGACTAACAAACGTCTAGGTCAGACAGGACAGTGTCAGGGTGAAAGGTACTGAAGAACTGCAATAGATTAACCCCAGTCTATTCATAGACACTTGCTCTACTTTGAAGTCAGTCTTTTAGTGTAATGGTCTTTTTTTGGTTTAAGTCGATCATTTTAAAGGCATGTGTAATCATATGTTTATGACTTGGTTTGTTTGTTAACTACTCCCGAACAATGCAGAATGAATCAGGTGTTTCCTAAAGTCATTTTCCGATTTTTCTTTTTCCATGCAGCATTTAAATGTGTAAACTCACACAGGGACTATCTTCACCTGTGGACTGTGATGGCGTGAGAGATAAGCCTAATCCAGGTTTAACGCTGAGCAACTGCTTTGGCCACAATCAAAAACGACAGAGATATTCTGGCCTGACTATTGAGAGATCACACCTTGATTTGCTCTTGCTGTTCTCTGAAATTAGAAATCCCACTGAAACATAACCATGCATCTAAATTGCATTTTGCAAGTTGTGTGTTAATTTTATGGCATATCCCATATTTTAGAGTCTAATTGTAGCATGTTGCATTTTGCTAGTTGTGTATTAATTTGATGGCATATCCCATATTTTAGAGTCTAATTGTAGCATGTTGCATTTTGCTAGTTGTGCATTAATTTGATGGCATATCCCATATTTTAGAGTCTAATTGTAGCATGTTGCATTTTGCTAGTTGTGTATTAATTTTATGGCATATCCCATATTTTAGAGACTAATTGTAGCATGTTGCATTTTATCCCATATTTTAGAGACTAATTGTAGCATGTTGCATTTTATCCCATATTTTAGAGACTAATTGTAGCATGTTGCATTTTATCCCATATTTTAGAGACTAATTGTAGCATGTTGCATTTTGCTAGTTGTCTATTAATTTTATGGCATATCCCATATTTTAGAGTCTAATTGTAGCATGTTGCATTTTGCTAGTTGTGTGTTAATTTTATGGCATATCCCAAAGTCGAATTGTAGCATGTTGCATTTTGCTAGTTGTGTAATTTTATGGCATATCCCATGTTTTAGAGACTAATTGTAGCATGTTGCATTTTGCTAGTTGTGTATTTATTTTATGGCATATCCCATAGAGACTAATTGTAGCATGTTGCATTTTACGATACGATATGATACAATACGATATACTTTATTGTCCCCTTAGGGGAAATGTTTCTTGGGCTTAGTGTATGCTGCATATACACATATAAATAAACATGAAGCATATTAAGCATACTAAACAGGGGGGCAAAACATGCAGACAGTATATCAAAATAATAATATCTACATCAATATAAACAGTATTGTTTTCCCATGATAATTTAAAATACTGTACTTAGAAGTATTTATAAGTGTATGAACATGCATATGGTGAATTTTGTATTAAATATTGAATTTGTTTTTCTATGTATGATGTATGCATGCAATGTCTGTATGATTCTGATGACTACTAACCAGAACCAAGTCACTGGCCATTTTCCTAACCATTCAAAATTCTAATAGAAACTGGCACAAAATAATTTTTAAACCGATTGAATCGACATTTGGGCACTCTGTACCTTCTTCCTGAAGGCAGAAGCACGTACTCAGGGTGTTTGCTAGTTGTCTGTTAATTTTATGACATATCCCATATTTTAGAGTCTAATTGTAGCATGTTGCATGCTCAGTTTTGTATTGCCCTTTTATTATCAGCACAGCAGCTCATCGTATAGGTCATGCAAAAACACAAAAACCCACTCACCGCTTTCGGTGTCCCTCTGCTTTTCACCAAGCATGACCGTTCAAGGTTCTGGTACCCTCCAATCACCTCAATCTCTTTTGCTTTAGGATATCGTTTCTTCCCTGCCTCCTTGGTGCTGCTGGGAGCAGGTGTGGGTATATGGCCCTGGGGAGCTGCTTTGGGTGTTGCAGGGGTCCCTCTTGGGATGGCACCAGACGAGGCTGCCCCAGCAGGTCTTCTGGGGGTGATTGTGATGGTAATTCCTCTCTTACCTGGTCTACCTGAGGCACTCCTAATGGAAAAGAGAGGCAGAGATGGAGATGAAGAGTGGGATGCAGTACAGGGAGAGGTTGGCGATGGAGAGCTTTGTTCTGGAGGTTTCTGTGAGTTTTCTGTTGATTCGGTGCTCCGGGCGTTGATTATGAATGACCTGACCTGCTGAGGTATAGGGGATTGTCTTTGGACATTCTGTTGGCCTTGTGGAAATCTGGTACTTGTAGGCATTTGGGATTTCTGTGTCTCTCTTAGTATGTCTGGTTTCTTCTGGCCTTCAGTTGCCCTGATCTCTGGCTCTACAAGCGGACAACTCTCCATGGTGGGCTGTGCCTTTTTGTCATTGTGGGAGCCACATCCTGCTTCCTGTTCCCTCAGCTGTAGTTGTTCCACCTGCCACTGTACCATCTGAACACCTGTCGACTCCATCGCCTGAGTTTTGTCACCGTCCCTCCCATGATTCCACAGCTTAGCAGTTTCTGGCAGGATGTCCGGTGATGGTGCTTGTCTGATGGGGTTGTATTTGCCCTGAGGTCCACTGTGTGGGGGCATATCAGCTGTCCTTTCACTGATACACACTGCAGTTCTGGACCCCACCGTCTTGAGGTTATAGATCCGACTCATGGCGTCCAACGAGTCAGAAAGTGGTGGGGAGGGAGAAAGAGAGGGAGGAAGATACTCTTCCTCTCTTTCTCTTTCGTCTATGTCCTGTGTTCTCCAAGCGATGCACGTTCCACACTCCTCTACATGGCGTTGTGTATCTCTCTCTGCTTCCCTGGGGCAGATATCGCTCTCTGAAGCGTCTCTGGCGATCTCCCCAACTTCTCTTTCAGTCGAAGCTGACTGCAAGAGCGACAGAGAAACAGGAACAGGAAGTTGAGGGTTTGACTTTGCCATGTTAACGTCCTGTGTGACGTCAAACAGTCTGAGAGTCTGTAATGTGGTTTCTTCTTGTTCTCTCACAGTTCCTCCTGCTTCTCTGCTGCCCTCTTCTTTGTCATCATCCTGTCTTTCCTTCTGTTGCTGACGAATTCTCTCTTTCAGAGACTCCACTCGGGTCAGAGGTCGCCCAGCCTTCCAGCTCCCTCTCCTCTCCACTTGTCCTCCATCTAGTTTATCCCCAGCAGGGAGACTCGCCCTCCTTCTTTCGGATGATATATCGACTCCATAAAATACAGTCCTGGGGATGGCGACTCCCTCTTGGGTGCACAGTTTTCTCTGGCCCAGTGTAACAGTTTGTTGTGGGAGTTGTGAGGTAAAATGTAGTTCCTCAGAGGCTTGTTTTGGAATGCTTTGATACTGTTGATGCTCTTTTTGATCTTGGTTACTCATTTCACCAGAGATCCTTTCCGTGTCTCCATGTGAAAAAATATACCCTGCCCTCTTGAGTTCTCCATCTAATTGGACTTTTCCTATTTTACTGAGCAAATCCTCTGTGTGTTGGGTAAGGGCTGCTTGGCCAGAGGGTTGCCTTTGTCCAGCATAGTCAACCATAGTCGGGCAACTGGAGTCCGCAGAGGGAGTGTTGTCACATCGGCACCAACTGTCTGTAGGGAAATCTATAGTACTGTCATCCGAGGGTGGTATATATATGCCACGGGATTGTTTTGAAACTGCAACAGTTCCCTCCTCTTGATTCCATCTCCTTTCAGATTCTGTTTTGGCCTCAGTTTGGAAATCTGTGGGTCTCTGCCGTACCAGCGTCTCTCTCTCCTCTTGCCTCTTATCTCTGTGTATCTCTTTATCTATTATTATCTCTCTCTCATTCTCCTCTCTCACTTTCTTAATCTCTCTTTTTGAGCTGCTCTCCATCCCCCCTTCAGGGATTTTGACAGAGGCCAGAGTGAAGTCCTCTCCTCCGTCTACGCTTGAAGTACATTCCTCTGTCTCGCCACAAACAGATTTATTCCTCTTATTTTCAACCTTTATTTCTTTTTGTCTCTTTTCATGCATCACCTCATCATGTTTGGGTCGACCCCATCGCCTGGCGACCTTTGGTTCACTTCCTGATTGGTTGGTGACCCTTGTTTTGACCCTACGGTCTGAGCACGACCTCTCCACCACTTTAAAATCTGTCTTTTGCTCACAATCTCTGTTCTCCTGTTGGCAAACCACGCGGTCGGAGAAGCTAAAGGAGCGTTTGGGAACACCCCTGAGCATCAGACTCGTTTCAGTCTCCTCCGTACTCTGTTCCTCCTCCACAAAGAGGTCTCCTGTACTGTATCTGGCCCGGTTCTTGAAGCACTCTGTGCTCTTGGAGCGCATTGGAGGTTTTGGGTGTTCACCAAACTTACTAAGCAGCTGACTGACCCGACCACTACGTTCTGGAGCCCCCATGTCCTTGTGGTTCAGGACTCTCTCGGCTATTTGCATGACCATCCTCGACACTAGTTGCATGGAGGACCATATCCCCTCTTTCCCTAAACGTTCACTCCCTCTCTCAGTCTCGGTTTCCCTAATCCCGTCCATCACGGGTGGTTTGATGATCAGTACTTCTGAAGCCCTAATTTCCGTCACGCTTCCTCCGCAAGCTAGAAACTCCCTCAAATCCATCCTCATCCTTTTCTGATCCTCCCTGACCTCCTTTTCTCTCTTATCCGGTTTTTCCTTGTCATTTTTGTCTTTCTCAATAATGATAATGTTGTGTGCCTGGATCGTGTGAAGACCTACGACCGGAGGAAATAAGGATGTGCTACCGTCTGCCTCTCTGATTTCTCTCCCAGTGCTTCTGTCTCGCTCTCTTCCCTCATTTTTACTTCCCATCTTCTTGACCCACATCTCTCTATCTTGTCCTCTCCAGATCTCCTTCTCTGTTTCCTTATTTCTTTCTCTCCCTCTTTTATTGGCAGCCTTTTTATACTCATTCTCTCCATCTCTAATCACCTCCTTCCCTCTGTTATCTCTCCTAAAGCTGTTCTCAGAACGGATGAAGGGGTTCTGTTGGATGGGGCTGATGGTGTCTTTGTATATCTGTTTTTGCAATTTATACCCAGTCTGCTCAGTCTGGAGGTGATGTGTTAATTTACTGTCCGTCTGCTCTGTGCTGATGTCTTCATTGATGCTCAGGATATCCGGAGTATGTGGTCCTCCATCTCTCTCTTTCTCCCTCTCTCTTTCCTCATCTTGCTTCACCCTTCTTCTCTGGATGATCCCTCGCTTCCAAGCCGGCATGCTGGCAAGCCGCTGCTCTTCTTCCCTCTCTTGTCTCTCTCTCTCCTCCTCCTCTCTTCGCTTTCGCTCCAGTAGCAGCTGCTTCTATTCCGGTAGAGCAGAGAGAGACATAACCACGGAGTACTCGATTAAACAGTGCTGTTTTACTGATCAGAACTTTTGCAGAAAGACAATTTTAACACCCAGGAGTTCTGTCAAAACAAATACACAAACTGATGAACACATTGGCTGTGTTTTTTATGTGGTAAACATGCAGTTAACAGTGCAAATCTACTGTCAGAATAAACACTGACACTCTTTCAAGTATGTCTAAAACACATATTTAACTAAAACTCAAATTAATCTGAATGGAAAAGAGAATGCATATTTACACTACCAGTCAAAAGTTTTCGAACAGTAAGATTTGTAATGTTTTTTTTAAAGAAGTCTGTTCTGCTCACCAAGCCTGCATTTCGTTGATCAGAAATACAGCAAAAGCAGTAATATTGTGAAATATTTTTACTATTTAAATGTTTTTTTGAGCAGCAAATCAGCATATTAAAATGATTTCTGAAGGATCATGTGACACTGAAGACTGGAGTAATGATGCTGAAAATTCAGCTTTGATCACAGAAATAAATTATATTTTAACAGATATTCAAATAGAAATCAGCTATTTTAAAAAGTAAAAAGATTTCACAATATTACTGCTTTTTCTATATTTCTGATTAAATAAATTCAGGCTTGGTGAGCAGAAGAGAATTATTTAAAAAAAAAAAAAAAAAAATTAAAAAAACTCATTTGCATGTTTAATAGCCTGTTCAAATATAATTTAACAATCCATGCAAAAATTAGAAAATGGTAAAATTGTTTTAAATTAGTTGTAGTGTTACACTGTTGTCTTTTTTGTCGTTTCAACTATTTGAATTGTGATTTGTTGGATAGAAAATGTAATTCTGTTCATGCACCATATACTGAGATGCTAAAAGTTCGCCCATATATTTTGACATATCGATCTAAAACACAATACTTCATAAATAATGTTTTAAATAACTGTTTTTGCAAACCTTATTGCTTCAGATTTTGTGGGATGACCGAATTAAGTTTTCCTCGTTTCCACGCGCTCGACGTTCATCTTTCCATTAGTGTGACTCCAAAAAGATGCATCAAAAGTCCAGATAATTCCTTCAATCCTTGCAAAAAGGAATCAGCAACCTTTCTAACACGCACCGAGTAAGAAACCTCCAGTTAATTCATATTTGTGTGATTCCGTGAACTGTATGTCGGAGCGGCTGTGTATTACAGGCGCAGGACTGTAATCCCATAATTACATTCAACTCCAGCAAATAATCACAGGCGCTGCCTAAGAAAAGACGTTTAACTAAACTGCCGTCTGCATCTCCTCCTCATCTGAGTCCCTGCGGACACCGGAGCCGTTAACGGGAGAGTTACGCACGGGAATTAAACGCCAGCTCTTAGATAACGCATCCGCTCACCGTTACGCGTGCATTAATTGGTCTCTTTATTATACATTATATAAATATCACACATAGTTTATGGTATCATATTAACTAGACTATTTATATACAAACGGTGAGCAGTTACTGCGAAATACACTTTATCCTTTTACTGCATGCATATAATTTAACCTAATTAAACATCTAATGGACGTTTTTTGTCGTCAATCTGGTAACTGAAATATACTTTTAATTCAAGACAAAAATACATTATTTGTTGCAGCATTTTATTCGGCATTGTTCAGCAAAGTGGTGTGATGAATCCACATGATGATACAGTAAAAAGTCAAGCCAATAAACAAAATGAAAGAGTTTAATAATGGTTTTCAGCTCTAACAACAGTGCATTTTTAATGCACTTTTACAAAAGTAATTTCAATTTTATTGACCATATAAAAATGCATTCTGTATCAAACTCTGAGGTCATTATATGTAAACACACTTCAAACACATTAGACATTTTTATAAAATAAAAGCCAGGTTTTGCAGTAGCATGGCACTTAATCCTGAAAAACACAGGTTAATGCTGCATTTATCCCACCTGACCTCTGACCTCAGGATTCTTTGATGAATAGAAAGATCCAAAGATCAGCATTTATCTGAAATAAAAAGCTTTTGTAACATTATACACTATACCATTCAAAAGCTTGGAGTCAGTATACTTTTTTTTACTGAATAAAATTATGGGTGGGTACGGAGAAATTATAGAAATTAATACTTTTATTTAGCAAGGATGCTTTAAATTGATCAAAAGTGATGATAAAGACATTTATAATGTTACAAAATATTTATATTTCAGATAAACGCTGTTCTTCTGAACTTTCTATTCATCAAAGAATCCTGAAAAAATTATCCTCAGCTGTTTTCAACATAATAATAATAATAAATATTTCTTGAGCAGCAAATCAGCATATTAGAATGATTTCTGAAGATCATGTGACACTGAAGACTGGAGTAATGATGCTGAAAATACAGCTGCGCATCACAGAAATAAATTACAGTTTACTATAGATTCAAATAGAAAGAAGTTATTTTAAATAGTAAAAATACTTCACAATATTACTTCTTTTGCTGTATTTCTGATCAAATAAATGCAGGCTTGGTGAGCAGAAGATAATTCTTTAAAAAACATTAAAAATCTTACTGTTCAAAAACTTTTGTATACCTTTGTGTGTGTGTGTGTGTGTGTGTGTGTGTGTGTGTGTGTCCATCCATTTATATATAAATTGATTTTATAAACTATTCTTTTGTAAAAAAAAAAAAATAAATAAAAAATGTATACAGTTGAAATGTGTAGAAAAAAGAACATAAATGACAAGGACTTCAAATACTACCAGATAGATTTTGAAATGGCACTGCTCAAAAATACACAATAACCGTATTCATTTCCGAGATGATAACTGGACAGCACTTGCTGAATTAAACATTAGTGATTTCGAAACTGCTGTGTGAAGCTTTGAAACCTTTTCTGATCATTTGTTTTGAACCCGTGCATATCAAACCAGTCACATGATTTCAGTAAACAAAGCTTTCAAGACATTTCAGAATGTCACATGAACCAGTGTCTATATGGTTTTTACCTGATCTCAGATCAGTTTTATTCTTGTTTAATAACACATTTATATAATAAACTAGAAGAGTTGTAGATAATAGTCTCTTACAAGTCTGATTAACCACGCTCTACACATTTAATAAAATAACACATAGACACTTCTTATTTAATGGTGTTTTTATGAGGTGTTAATTGCATTTAATAGATTATACTTTGCAACTGCTTTGTAAAAGGTGTTTCATGCATATTTGGCCTGAGTTTTCAATGCATTTATGTGTGTTATTCAAAAAACGTAAATCATTTTGTGAAGCAACTGGTTCAATTGATTCAAATTTTTTTCACATCAGTATGAGACACGAACATCAACAAAAGTCAAAAATTGGTGGGACAATTAATGAATCAAGATGAAAACAAATTGCTTTTGATTATAAGATGTGTAAGTTGTTGAAGTCAACAGTACAATTTTAGTTGTGCATTTGTGTACTGTTGAAGAACAACAATATTGTCGGTTTAAGAGGCAAGAGGCTTGTGCAACAAAACTACATTTTCCATCATTCCCTGTAGCAGCACAAGAATGATAAAATGCAGAGATGAAGCCTTTGTTGTTCATTTGGTTGCATTAGTGGTAAAATCTTCCTGACTTTGTTAGGAAGAGAACAAAACAACATTTTTAAATGCCCCAAAAAAAACTTCTGAACTCAAGTAACTACGGAGCCCCGCACATGACATGCAAGAAAAATACATAAATCGTGTGCACGATTTACTAATTCGTTCCCTCGATGTACTAAAACGTGCACACGATTACTATTTAGTTCCCTCAATTTGCGTGCACGCTTTAGCAAATCGAGGGAACAAATTAGTAAATCGTGCGCACAATTTATAAATCGAGGGAACGAATTAGTAAATCGTGCGCACAATTTAAAAAATCAAGGGAACGGATTAGTAAATCATGCGCACAATATAAAAAAATCAAGGGAACGAATTAGTAAATCGTGTGCACAATTTAAAAAATCAAGGGAACGAATTAGTAAATCGTGCGCACAATTTAAAAAATCAAGGGAACGAATTAGTAAATCGTGTGCACAATTTAAAAAAAATAGAGGGAACAAATTAGTAAATCGTGCGCACAATTAAAAAAATCAAGGGAACGAATTAGTAAATCGTGCGCACAATTAAAAAAATCGAGGGAACGAATTAGTAAATCGTGCGCACAATTTAAAAAATCGAGGGAACGAATTAGTAAATCGTGCACACAATTTATAAATTGAGGGAACGAATTAGTAAATGCTGCGCAAAATGTATAAATCGAGGGAACGAATTAGTAAATGGTGCGCAAAATTTATAAATCGAGGGAACGAATTAGTAAATTGAGGGAACGAAATAGTAATCGTGTGAACGTTTTAGTACATCGAGGGAACGAATTAGTAAATCGTGCGCAC